TACTTAGAGACAGGTGCTTTCCCAGTTACCAAGAAGAAAATCATAAATATCTTTCCCCCTTGACTTGAGGGTGATGTTCTAAAAGCTATCCTCCCTGAAGGCAAAAACAGAGATTACTGACTGACTTTAGTTTGAAGAGAGGGCTAGAGATTCTTGCTGGAGACCAGCCAGGACAGCATCTCCTATCTGGGCATACACATTTTTTCCATACAACGGGGGCAGCCCAGGGCAACTGTCTCTAGATCCTTGCCTGCTCCTGCTCGTATGGTCTATTCTTAGCCCTTGACACAGGTGCTGGCCTGAAGAAGGGGAAGCTCCTGCAGAGACAGTCTGTCTGCTGCTCTCTGGAGCCATCATTAATAGAACTCATGACCTTTGGCTCCAGAACACTCCTGCTGTGTCCTGCCAGTCACTGCAAAGAAAGATACAGAGAGAAAGAAGCAGATGATGCCTGGGAGTTGAGTAAAGTAGAAAGATCCATGTAGGCAGAGGAGAAAGCTGGGACTAGGTCAAGTTAGTATCTTTTGATATTTAGCCAGTAGCAACAGATGCAGTGTTTGGAGTGAGAAACCTAAACCCAGCCAAGGATGGGGAGGGTGAAGGAAACTTTGTCACAACATCTCCCTTTTCCTGGGGGAAAGGCTTAGAGAAAACCTATAAGAAAACAGACTTGCCTTTTACATCGTTATACATTCCAAAGTTGAGACAGGCACATGTTGACTTAGGCTGATCTTAAGAGTGGAGAAGGCTGTTGCCTGCTGCTGGATAACCATTACCAATGCCACATTCCAGAGGCTGAGCTGTAGATGAGAAAGGAAGGCTGTCCAAACTAGCTCAGAGCTCAGTTTGAGTAAAGGAGATAGGGTAAGGACATACTTGAACCTAGAGGAGGCTCCCATGATGCCTACCCCATGTCCAACGAGACCTTTATGAAAGGAGCAAAGGCTGAGCTGAGCTTAATTCCTGCAGGAGGCTATGTTGTATCTCAAAAAGAGGGGAGCCTAGGAATCAGCAGGTGTTTGAGACCACAGTACCTGAGGGGGTTGACTCCTCAGAGTCCTCTCTTTCTCCTTTGTATTGTCTTTACCATGATTCCTTGGGGCATGCTCAGATTTCCCTGGCAGTTTGCCAAGCAGCTCTAGACGTGCCACTTGAATCCATGGAATTACACTGACCTCTCTTCCCTTTTCATGTTAAATTTGCATGCCATGCTCCTAGCCAAATCTGGTGGGGTTATTTTAGTATTTGCCAATTACTGGGCACATGGATGCTAGATGACCATCCACAGACTACCTGACCTGAGACTTAGCACTGCAGGGTGTTGGGATCCTGAATACACTCCAGCTTCATTCTCCTCTAGACTCTCCTTCTATACACCAGGGGCTCAAACCTACATACAGAAGCTCTGTTTTCAGGTAAGGGGTAGAGAAAAATATTTTCTCAGGTCTAGAAGCATCAAGGCTTGGGATCATGAGAGACCCATGTAAGCGAGGCACAGAATAGACAGGGTAAGACCAATTGGGAGTTCTTTCTCAGGCACGAGGAACTGCAAAGGGAGCTCAGATGCATGTGAGGAAGGGTCACCTGACTTTTCCAGAGCTTCTCAGATGGAGACACACATCTAGGTGGCGACAGCAGATCAGGCTGGAGGAAGAATGGAGAAAGTTACATGACTTGGTGCTTTTAAAAATACCATATGTCTCTCTGAAAACTGAGTCTAAAGCCTGTATCATGAAAGGCCATATGACCTGGACAGTTGTCCTTGGGACCAGACAGGATCTGCCCTCTTTTAGCCACAATGGGGTCCTAGGGGCCATTGCTCTTCAGAGGCCCAGGGACCACAAAGAATTGGGTGATTCTGTATCTGCGGAGTAGGATACAGGGGTCCTCCAGGCTATGGGGAGATGTGTCTTCCCTTGATTAGGACACTTAGGAAAGATGGAGCCCACTGTCTCTTGCCCCCCAATCTACCTGGGCTTTGTGTGTTCCTCCTAACATCCCTGGTTCCAAATACAGAACAAGGCTTAGATTAAAGAGCAGGGAGACATTTTGCTTGAAATATCAGAAACTTTAGGGCAAATAAAGTCCAAAGGAGCAGATCTGATGGATTTAGATTCTTTTAACTTCCTCTATCATGCCCTTGAAAGATCTGAAGATTCCCAAGGCAGATCCACCCAGGATGTGGAGGGGGAGGCTTTTAGAAACAATACCAACAAAACTAACCTCACTGCATGGATAGGACTGTATTTCTTTGAATACAAGAGCCAATCATTCTATGGGGTTGGGGGAATGAAATATGAACGTCTATAGGCATATTGTATGGTGAGGGACAATATGAAAAGAAAGAACAAGATACCAACAAAGCTATCAAAGCTAAATATTAGGAGTTGGTTATTTGATCCAGGAAAAGAAATAGGTGCAGAGATTTCTGTTGCAAGCACTGTAGGTTCCAGCTGAGGAAAACTTAGATGGATCTTATTAACTCATGAAACAAAAGGTTATCAGGGGCCCAGACACTTGTCAGAGTGAAAGCAGACAGCCAGGGGGTGATGACACTGTGCCTCAGTGCAGTGGTCCTGCTGTGGGGTACCCAGGTCATCTGGGAGGAAGACACTGAGAATGTGTGAAGTCCTTTAATGACCCTTGAGTTACCAATGGCCTCTGAAGGGGAAGAATAGAAGACCTCATGGGAAGGAATGCTTAAGAACAATGGAGTCTGGAGATGGGGCTCTCTTCAAGATGAGGGCGATGCTACCAGAGAAAACAGATCTAGTCTCTCTTGAACCTTGCTTCTTCCTGTCCTGTCTCTGCTGTTTGGCTCATTCTTCTTCCTTTTTCTTGTCTCCCTGGTCTTCCCTGATACTGCTCACAGATTTCCAATTGTATGACTGGGAAAGGTAAGGCATGATGGAGTTGCTCTGGAGAAGGACAGAAATGCTACTAAAGAAGGAGGGGAGCCCAAACCCACCAAGCCTGAAGCAAAGGGCAGGTGAGATGTCCATGGCCGCACCTCTTCCTCCTTCACCATCCACGGCTCAGGCTTCCATAAGCTGAAAGTTGTTTTTCCCACACTGGATGTTCTCAACCAACATCCACAATTTCTAAGTTTCATATAAATATGGACACATGTGCTTGTGCGTGCATTCCAAAGACAGAGTGGTCACACAGAGGTGGCAGACTAAAGCCAGTGGTGGGGTCAAAGAGCAAGAGATAAAATGGAAAGGTGTCTAAAACTAGACATACAAGAGCAGTGTCAGAGGTCCATCCAGAAGGGACATATGGCATTGAACAGCTTCAAAGAAGCTATCCACTGGCACACAGAGCTCCAGACCTGAGACAGAAAGGACCTGGGACCAAAGCTAGCTGAAGAGATGCCCTGCCACCCCACAAATGGACTCACCATGCCCAGCCTGAGCAGAGTATTGGGTGGAGCTTGGGGCGGAGCCCCAGCAGCTGCATGTGGACTGGTCATGTAGAGAGCGCCCTTTGTTCACCTCTCTCACACACAGCTCCAAGCCGTCCCTCTCTCCCTGACTTGTCCCTGCCAGGCAGATAGTCCAGCTGGTCCTCACCTCAGCCCAGGTGTGCTCTGTTGTTTCCTGCTTCCCAGAGCAGGGACCAGGTAGGACCCATCTAAGGGAGGTCCTGCAAAGTTGTGGTGACACGTGAGATAAGGTGGTGGAACAAAGGAGGGTTTCACAACTAATACAATGTTTTAAAGATTTAAGAAAAGAAAAAGAGGATTCTGGTAAACCACGAAGGGGTGACAAGGAGGGACTTGGTTTTGTTTTGTTTTTAATAGTTATTTAAAATAAATTTTAAAAATCCCTCAAATATAAAAAAAAATTCCTCATTTTTTGACTTCCTTAAGAATAGCTCAGTGTGAGGTCTCGCACCCTGAACAGTTAATCCAGAATTAAAAACCAATTGCAACCACAGACAACAAAGACTAACAGTATGTACTTAAAAATACTGTGTATGTATATATATAGATATATATATATTTACACATATATATCTTTTGTGGAGATATTTTTCTTTTTATGATTAAATTTCTTTTTCTTTTTCTTTTTTCTTTTTTCTTTTTTTTCTTTTTTCTTTTTTCTTTTTTTTTTTGTGCCCAAGTAGAGATAGAATGGTATCGAAATAATACCCTAAAACAGAAATACTGTTTAAAGGAACAGTACCTTCCAAACACAAATTAAAAATTTTACAAATGGTCAAGCATACTTGTGACACCTCCAGAAATTCACCTTGGTATAGTGAGAAAATAAACAGTCGACTCTGATCCTCACCAAAGCCACAGGGCCTGGATGATCAGCCTCTGCAGCTGGGATGGCAACTTGTTCACCAGGGAGATGGCCACACACAGATGCCACCTATCCCACCTTCCCATCCGGCCCTCTCGCTTCCCTCGCCCAGCTACCACAGCATTTACCTCACTTCAGTTCTGTGTATTTCTGGCAAGACCTTGCAGCAGGTGTACACACGCACGCACACACACACACACACACACACACACACACACTGTCCACTCACCCCAAATGCACCAGGCTGAATGAGTCTCAGCCAACCACATTGACAGAAGCACCAGTCTGTGAAATGGGTCGGTTAATATGGTTTGACTTTTTTATATGTGGATAGATATTCTAGTGTTCCTCTTTATGTTATTTTTTTAAGCGCAGATGAAAAATGAAAAATTCTTTCCAGATCAATTTAAGGCTTCCCATCAAATGAAAAGAGAAGAGGCCTTACTCACTGTCACACGTCACACACACTCGCGCACACACACACATCCTTCTCAGCCTTAAAATGACGGAAGAGATCATTGTAGTATTGTGCCTTTAAATTGATGTCGTCCCTTTTGCTACCATGCTGAGTTTGATCATTGCTGATTCTCTTTGATGGCGTTTATGAACATCTCCTTTGATCTGCTTTTAGAATTTATCAAATTGGGTGTTTGGGAGTTTCATTCTTGTTTGTGTTTTGGTTTGGTTTTTTGCACGGGAATATAATGCAATTGTTGCTAGGCAAATGTTAAATGGCACATAGTCAGCCTTCAGGGAGCTTTTCTGGCCAGTGGAGATCCAAGCAGCCCTTTAGCTTCTAGAAGGCTTTACAAAATGGGAAAGGGGCAGGAGAAATCGAACAGAGAGAGGGGCTTCTATACCTTTGCTTTTGGTCAATTTGTTTGTTTGCTTGTTTTTCAATACAAATCATCAGATAGGAAGGATTGTTTTGATATGGTATCTGTTTGCTGTTTTAGTTTATTTGCTTTGTTGGTAGATTTTGTTTCATTTGATTATTTAATTTTTTTTCCTCTCCTGGTACAAAAGTTACCAGAGAGTTTTCTGTGAGGAAACGTGACAGTACCTAAAGAAACTCAGCACCTAAGGGCATAAGGCAGTTGAAGGTTTTTGTTTGTTTTGTTTTGTTTTGTTTTGTTTTGTTCTCTCAATCAGCACCAATCCCATATATGATCTACACTTGGTGTGAAGTATAAAACCTTTGTTTGTTTGTTTGTTTGTTTGTTTCTTTTGGAGAGGAGATTAGCTCTTCCTTCTCCATCCTAGGAACTGTAGTGTGGGATTATTTAATTTTTTTCAATACTGTTTCTTATGTGTAAAAAACAAAAGAAAGGTTTTCTTTTTGTTTTTACTTACAAAACATAGAGAATATCTTTGTATACATATAGTGACTGGAAAGAAAGCTTATCTGAAGGGGATGTGACTTATTGATCTTTTTTGTAGTGTTGGTGTTGTTGGTGTGGCGGTGGTGGTGGTTCTGTGTATTGGGGGAAGGGAGGGTTATATTTCTTGCAGGCGGCGTTGACCGCAACCAAACTTAAGGTCCCCTTCTCAATCTGGGTCAAGGTGTTCTAGAGTGAAGACTCATACTGCAGCAGCTCATAGAGCAGAGGCCCATCTCGGTAGCGAATGCCCACTGCGGTGGGGGTGACGTACTGCAGGATGTTAATAGTCCTCCGCAGCCTCCTGTCTACAAAGTGCGCATCCCAGGCCGGGTACCGCTTTCTTGGCATGTCAATCTTAATCAAGGGCCCTTCTGGGTGGTAAGGACGCCCTGACGGGGTAGAGGGCCCCATGGGTCTCACTTGGAATACAGGCAGGCAAGTATCAGCCGTGAGGTCCTCCTGCTGTTCCGTCACGGCTCTGGTGGGCGTGACCTGGGTCCCCCGGTACCCAGGGGTCTGAGGTGCCATAGGCTCAACATCAGGGGGCAAAGGGATGCCCCAGAGCAGCTCGGCACAACAGGAGCTGGCAAAGACCTTAGCCCGCGGCCCCATGGGATGCAACACGCCATAGTATAAGAGCATGAGCGTAATCCCAGCCACAAAGCTAACGAAGACACAACACAGTGCTGGCACGGCATAGGAGTCAGTGTTCTCCGGATTTCTGTAAAAATACCAAAGGAACGTCAAGGCAGCATTCTCGGTCAAGACTATCGTATAGTATGCGAACATTCGGTATCGAGTCCGCCCTTCCTTGACGTTAAACCAGCAGAAAATGTACACGATCCCTACCACCATGTTGAAGAGGATCTCCTCCCACTTGGACATGCAGAAGTCTGTCCCACCATGGATGATCCAGAAGGCCATGGCGCACCAGTGCACCACCACGAAGATCCCGAAATACAGCTGAAAGATGGAAGCAAAGAGGGCGAAAGAGATAACTCGGGATGAGATGGTGAAGAGGCGCCAGAAGAGGTGGATGAGGGCCCCTCTGTAACTCATGCTCTTCTTGTCGTCCCTGGAGTCCCGCAGCAGCTTGTGATAGGAAGCTAGCACCCAAGCCAGGGACATCAGGGAAGTCACAGAGGAGACACCTGCCAAAAAGACACAAACCCACACAGTTAAAACCTTGGATATCTACTGTGGGCGCAGCGGGACTGCTGGCTGAGGAGACGCCCCCCCACACGCTGCAATCTAAGGAGGGAGAAACAAATACAAAATCAGGTACTGGACCGGAGTCCCAGCTGCTTCTTACACTTGACCCCTTTCATGCACTTGCTTTCTCAGCAACCTCTTCCCTTGCCGGGTTGTGCTTTGGTGTCCCTCCCAGGCTCGCAACTCCCTCCTGCTTTGGGAGTACTCCTTCTCCTAACGGGTTTGGTTCCCCTCTGGGCCTCTGTGATTCATCCCCAGCAAATCATCCAACATCCAAAGATCCTGGCAGCTTGGATGCCTCTGACCCTTGGAAGCACTTCAGTTTCTCTAAAGCAAGTTTTTTTCTAACGCTGTTGAATTGATGTTTGTAAGCAAATTAGATGAAATGGTAGTGATAGCTGTTGGCTATGGTCATTACTGCATCCACCCAAAAACAAGTAGTCACCTACCAAGCACTGTTGTACAATGTCCTCTCACACAGGATTCTCCCAGCATCCCTGAATTCCTCATGCATAACCCGAAGTTAGCATCCAGTGCCCCCTTGTGTAGTCCTTCCTAAAATTCAGAACTAAATGCAACGGGAGGACTGGCTGTCATCTCGTTGACAGTCTCCTTAACAAATTGTCTGATCTCACAAGCATGACTCTCCTATTTCTCTGTCTTTCAAGCTAAAATCAGTGCTACACTGCCTGTTATCATTAAGGTCAGATCCAGGCACTCAAGGTTCTAAGAAAGATAGCTTGGACCCTTCATTTGGGTCCCAGCACACCACTTTACAATGATCCAAGCTTCAAGGGGGAGCCAAAGTCCCTCTGCTTTCTGGTCCCAGGATTCTGGTCCTGTCTATCTCACATGTCTCCCTCTTCCCCTCCTCTTTTGGTCTCATACTGTAAAATAGTATGGCAGGAGCCAGAGCAACTCCAGCATGTGGGCAACACACAAAGAACATTGAACATCTGGATAGTTGGCTGCCACCAAGAGCATATGCTGCTGTTGTCCTATCAATAAAGATACAAAATAAACAGGAGCAATGAGGCATGAACCCAACTTCTCCATGGAAACCAATCGAAATAAGATCCTGAGAGCAGTGATGGTGGATTTTCCTCCAACGTCTCCGGAAAGTTCTAGAATGGATACTTACATGCCCTGCTTGCTTATCCTACCAGACACAGGGCATCTGGTCTGCATCCTAGAGAGCACACATGGTTTGTGGACCAAACATTCAGAGGAAGGTTGTGTTCTGGATGCTAGGTTGGAGTAGGAAGAGCAGGTCCCCGTAGGAGTCACTTGACTTGGGTGTGGGTTTCCAGAGGGCAGGGAGCAGGAAGTCTCACCATTGTAGCTTCTATTAGACTTAGTCCCCTGGGACACTCTGAGGAAGTTTCCTTTCCAACATCCTATGGTTCCACTGTCACTTAACTAGACTGCTTGCCTTCCTTCCTTCCTTCCTTCCTTCCTTCCTTCCTTCCTTCCTTCCTTCCTTCCTCCCTCCCTTCCTCCATTCCTTCCTTCCCTTCTTTCTTCTTACCTTGAATTGAGGAGTTTCTGAATAGTCTAGGCTGGTCTCAAACTCAATACTATAGCTCAGATTAGCCTGGGACTCTGAATCATCCTGCCTCAATCTCTAGAGTTCTAACAACTGAACTCATTTACTTTTGTTTGTGTGCATGCACAGATGTGGTGTGCGTGCGTGCGTGCGTGCGTGCGTGCGTGTGTGTGTGCACGGGCATGTACATGAGCATAGAGAGATCAGAGGCCAGCTTTGAGTCATATTCCTGAGAAGGAGTACACTTTGTTTTGAGAAACAGGGTCTCTCACTGGGACCTGGAATTACCAAGAAGGCTAATTTGGCTGGCTAGCTAGGGATCCACTTGTCTCTACAACTCAGGGATCATGAGGCTTTTTATATGGTGCTGAGGATCAAATCAAAGTTGGAATGTTTGCATGATAAACACTTATTGACTGAACTGTCTTCCTAGTCCCTGAATTCCTCTTTCTTTCTTTCTTTCTTTCTTTCTTTCTTTCTTTCTTCCCCTCCCTCCCTCCCTCTCTCTCTCCCTCCCCCTCCTCCTCCTCCTCCTCCTTCTTCTTCTTTTCTTTCTTTCTTTCTTTCTTGTTTTTCAAGATAGAGTTTCCTCTGTGTAACAGCCCTAACTGTCCTTGAATTCATTTTGTAGACCAGACTGGCCTCAAACTCGGAGAGCTGCCTGCTTCCACCACCCAAGTCCTAGGGTTGAACTCATTTCTTGATGCCAATATTCAAGCACCTGTTGGGAATTGTCAAGGCCTGGCTGTCAAAGGGAGTGTTTATGAAATCTAGGTAGGAGGAAGGCCTGGTTTCGGTGTTCCTTCTAACACCATGAGAACTACTATAGCCTCTATTATTTTCCACCCAGAAGAGCATGGGTTCTGAGTTTCTAGAGAATGAAAACCCAGCTCAGCTTTTGCCAGAACATAGACTCAGTTTGTTTAATCCTAAGCATGACTTTATAGAATTGGGGTGTCAGAGCAAGGTAGCCTTTGGCCTTCACAGTTTTAATTTTACCATTCTGAGTGTGGTAACATTACCCCCCTTCAGGGCTTTCCATGTACACTGATCACCAGCAACAAGCACATTCCACACTCCACCTCTCTGGCTCCTGGTTATCCGTGCCTCCTCCCCATCCACTGCTCTGGTTCTGAGGCTCTTTGTTCTTATCTCACCCTTGGTGGCCTCAAAGCTGCTGTCTCAGTGCATAGCCTAGTTCTTAGATGAGGATTCTGGGTTTTCTCTGATCACCATGGTCCAGATGTTTTTGAATGTTGCACAGCATCATCACTGGCTTAAAAGAAGGCTCAGGAAATGGCCATGTGGGGCGATGAAGAAGGAGAGCTCATGGGGCATGCTGAATGAGTCGAGCAGCCCTGGTCTCAACTCACAACCACACTCATTTCTGACTTAGCAAAGTCTGGAACTGCCACAAGGCTTATAGATGGGGAGTTCTAAATGCTCCTCAACTCTCTCACTGCAAAGCTGCAGGAAATTAGAGCCTTGCCCCAGATTATCCTGAGGACCAGCGTTCTTCCTGCTACCTGGTGCTGCTTGCTGACTGTCTCTTCTCCATATTGTTCTTCTGAAAGCTGTTTTTGTTTTTAAGTTCTCAAGGTCATTTATAATGAAGGTCATTGGCCTGCTTCAATGGAAGAACCTGTTCTACTTCCTAGCTATCGGCTCCGTGAGCCCTGGAATGACCTGCTTTGTCTTTGGAAGTACAAATAGGCTTCCATGTCAAAAGGCATGCATCTGGCTAGAACCTGGGAATGGGACTGGCAAGGAGGTGTGGGGTGTAAAGATGGCCTTTTACCCACACAGAACAGGGATTGTAGAGAAAGGACAGTGGCCTGGAGATGTCCAAACCCTCATCTCACCACTTTGTGGGCACATTGCCCAAAGTTTTCCAGCTCTACCCAAGGCTATAGCATATCTCTTTCATCCAAAACTGGTGGAGGTGCAAACGCCTTATTCCATCTCATGGAAGAGCTGAGAAAAGCCAGGCTCATAAGACTCCAGGCAGAAAATAATTTTCTCTCTGGAAGTTCACCCAGACAGTGACCTTTATCCTCTGCGGGCTCAAGAGCCAACAGTATAGGTATCAGATAAGACCTGTTTTCAACCCATGAGACGCATCTAAATTAAATTGTAACATTGGACATATCGTTGTTAATTGGTGGGTGATTTGGCTAGGCCACACCTATATCTTTTCTTTGGATAAAGCTTGTGGACTCTCTGACACATGGAACCATTACTTCAACTGTTCGATGGCAAGCCATTAGCTGAGGGCAGCCGGATGATGGAGGGGATGCAGATGGAGATGACAAACCAGGACAGAAGGGACACACAAACACAGAGAAGGATCCCATGAGGTTTTGGCAAAGGTACCACCTGAATTCTAAGGAGATAGGCCTCAGGAGAAGCCATCCATTGGCATCTTGATTCAGAATTCCAGTCTCTCAAACTGTGAAGAGGTCATTTGTCTACAGAAGCTGTTCAGCCTGTGGCACTCTGTGACGGGGATCCTGGGAAACTTGTGTAGTTTTTCTATTGACTTCATTTTTCAAAAGTTATTTTTAATTTATTTGAGTGTGTGTGCCTGTATGTGTACCATGTATGTACAGATACCTAGAGTGGCCAGAAGAGGGCAGAAGAACCCCTGGAATGCAGTTACAGGTAGTCATGAACAATTCAGTACGGGTGTTGGGTACCCAGCCTGGTCATTTCCAAGTGCTTTAACCACTGAGACACCTCCCCAGCCCCTTAAGTCATTTAAAAAAAAAAAGAAGCAATTTAAGAAAATGTGCTGGGGGGTGGGAATGGGTTAAGGTTTAATTTTAAAAAGAAAGAAAGAAAGAAAGAAAGAAAGAAAGAAAGAAAGAAAGAAAAGAATACTGAACACATTAAAATATTTATTCTATTTTGTAAATATATATCCAAGATGTATTTCCAATATTAATTATAAAATGCATTGTCATTTTCAGAAATAAAAAAAAAAGTTCCAAATCATGCATCTAGCAGGAGACTAGACACAGGGTAGGATCTTGACAATGACCCATGCCCTAAAGCTCCTAGACACTGCTGGTCTTTATCAGGGGCTCAGTGAGTGGTGGAAAAGTAAGTTTGAAGATTTGAATCTTGCTGGAGTGGAAGGCAATGTAGGCCCTGTAGGAACCCATGGGGGGCTCTCGAAGTCCCTTCAGCTTCCTCAGGAGATGAATAGCCAGATGACAAAGAAAGCAGCAACCCTCCCTGAATCCTCTGTGGCCACTGTCCATTGAGGAGATTAATCTGAAGCTACAATGGGCTCTATCACCTGCAAGAAGCACAGGGTCATGGCTCTGCAGTGGCTCCCTGGGAAGACTTCCATTTCTGAGGTCAACCCAAAGGTCATGTTCTCTTGGGCAA